CCCAAGCCAGGTACCAGTCCCCACCCCCTGCTCCCCCTGACGCCCCCCCCGCCCCTCTCCAGCTTCCCCCCCACCCCCAAGTGCCAGGCCTCAGCCCTATTGGCCGAGGGAGAGCTGCTACCCCGCCCCCTCCGGCTGAGAGGCCAAGGGCCGGGCGGACCCCGGGGAGCCAGCCCCTGCCCTGGAGTCGGGGCCACATTTGGGGGACCGTGTGTTGGGTGGGTCGGGATCCAGGGGCTGCCCTGCCTGTCCCTCAATCCAAACTCCGCCCCCTGCAGGAGACCATCCGGACCGCGCTGGCCATGGGGGCTGACCGGGGGCTCCACGTGGAGATCCCAGCCCCCCAGTACGAGAGCCTCGGCCCCTTCCAGGTGGCCAAGATCCTGGCGGCGCTGGCCAAGAAGGAGGGGGTCAGCCTGGTGCTGCTGGGCAAGCAGGTGAATTCCCCTCCCCCGCTCTGCCCCATGGGCTCATCTACCCCAGTATCCTGCCCCCCACCCTGCCCGCTCAGCCCCACGGGCCCATCTACCCCGCTATCCCACTTCCTCCCTGCCCCCCACTCCTCCCCGCTCACCCCCACGGGCTCATCTACCCCAGTATCCTGCCCCCAACCCTGCCCGCTCAGTCCCACGGGCCCATCTACCCCGATATCCTGCCTCCTCCCTGCTCAGCCCCTCGGGCCCAACTACCCCGCTATCCCGCCTCCTCCCCACTCAGCCCATCTCGGGCCCAGCTCGTGACACTGCTCCCTGCGGCAAGTGATGGGAAGGGGCCCAAGGGGCCCGTCCAGGGTGTGACTCGTTTTCTCCTTCCCAGGCCATCGACGACGACTGCAACCAGACAGGGCAGATGACGGCGGCGCTGCTGGACTGGCCCCAGGTGGCTGCCCCCCTGGTGGGGGGTCCTGGCAGCAGGGGGTTCTGGAAGCTGCGGGTGGGAGGATCCCGGCAGTGGGGGGCTCTAGGGCTGCGGGGTTGGATCTTGGCAGCGGGGACCTCTGGGAGCTGCTGGAGGGGGGGGGGGGGGGGGCCCGGGGGGGGGGGGTTGGGGGGGGGGGGGGCGGAGGATTCTGGGTGATGGGCGATAACACCCCCCGTGCCCCTGCAGGGGACCTTCGCCTCGGCGCTGACGCTGGAGGGGGAGCAGCTAACGGTGGAGCGGGAGGTCGACGGGGGGCTGGAGAGCATCCGGCTCAGGCTGCCGGCCGTGGTGACGGCCGACCTGCGGCTCAACGAGCCCCGTTACGCCACCCTGCCCAACATCATGGTGAGGGGAGGCTGCCTCTGGGGTGAGGTGGGGGGGGGCTGCTTATATCGGGACCCCTCCCCCGGCTCAGAGATGCAGCCACCTCTGGGGCGGGGCAGGGGCTGGTTATATGGGGACCCTTCCCCTGGGGGGGTCTCGCACAACTCTTCGCTAGTGCCAAGCCGCAAACCCCTCCGGGCGCTGGCATCGCACAACTGGTATCCTGGGGAATACCCCAGAGCCGCTCACCCAGGGAAAGGCCCCGGCCTGGCACCCCACATCTGTACTCTCCAGCCCTGGGCGGCCACCTGACCAGTGTAAGTTCATTACCTAGGCCGGTCCCCCCTCGATGTGGACAGGACACGCACCAGCCTTTGTAAATCGAGCGGAGGTTTCCCGAGCGCCCCTTTTTAGGGAAAGCTCAGAGCCGATTAACCCCCAAGAGCTGGATGGTACGTGATTGGTCGCCGTCAAAGGGCAGAGAGCAAAGAAAAGAGAAGCTAAAGGCCCAGTGTCAATCTGACACCGTCTCACACTGGGCAGGGTTGAGATCTGCCACTTTCTCACCCTGCTGCACGTTGCCGGTTTCCCTCCAATACCAGGACCAGGCTCCTCGGTTGAAGTTTTCTCTTCCCCGGCGCTCTGGGTGGGGGTCCTGTGTGTGTCAGTAGCGTATTTCACGCAGCAAAATCTCATCCCCTCGTGCGCCCCGGGAGGGTGTGTGTGTTTGGACAGAACAGCGGGTTTCAGCAGATCATAGATGCCTTACCTGGCCTGCTCCCTATGGAACATCCCAGCCACGCTGGAGTGAATACAGGGGTCACCAGGAGCGGTTTGGAGGTGCACTGTGTCACCGTAACAGCCACACGACACCAGACCACAATATCGGAGTTACCTGTGCGGGAAATGTCAGGAACTGGAGCCTGATGGGACTCCTGGGTTCTGTCCCAGCTCTGGGAGGGGAGTGGGGTCTAGTGGTTAGAGCAGTGGGGGCTGGGAGCCCGGACTCCTGGGTTCTACGCCTGGCTCTCTCCCCAGAAAGCCAAGAAGAAGAAGATTGAGGTGCTGAAGGCATCGGACCTGGGGGTCGATCTCTCCTCCCGGCTGGCCGTGCAGTGCGTGGAAGAGCCGCCCCAGCGCCAGGCCGGCGTCAAGGTGGAGACAGTGGACGACCTCGTGGGCAAGCTGAAGGAGGGGGGCCTGATCTGAGCCCCCGGCCGGTGAGTGCGGCCCCTGGCCCCGGCTCTCCCCTTGCAGACACTGACAGTACTGGGGAGAGAACCCAGGAGTCCGGGCTCTCAGCTCTCCCCCCCCCCCCCCGGCTCTAATCACTAACCCCCCTCCCCAAGCTGGGGAGCGAACCCAGGAATCCTGATGCCCAGCCCCTCCCCCCCAGCCCTCCTCTAACCACTAGAGACCACTCCCCTCCCAGAGCTGGGGAGGGAACCAGGCCCCCTGGCTCTCCCCCCCCCCCATAACCCCTGGAGTCCCCCCACACTGATCTCTCTGTGGCTTGTTTCTCTTCCAGCCCCTCCTGGAGCCGCTGCGCCCGGCTCTCCTGCTGCTGTGACGGGCGGTGCCCTGGGGGTCCCCGTCCCCGGGACCTGGCACTGCCCCCCATGATTGTAACCGTGCTGCCTTCCGGCCCCGCCGGCCACCCCTGAGCCGCTGCTCCGTCAGCCCCGGTGCTCGGGAACCATAAACCCCGCTGGGTCTTTGGAGCGTCGCTGTCCGTCTGTCCTTCGGCCGGCCCAACCGCGCCCGGGGAGGGGTCCTGGCTTTGGGGGGCGGCCCAGGCCCAGAGGCGGAGTGTGTGTGGGTGGGGGGGGGTTGTGGAATAAGGGGGGGGCGTACGGGGGCGTGGGGGGGGGGTTATTGGAGGGAGGGCATGGGCTGGGAAGACAAGGTGGGGTTTTGGGGGGAAGGGGGGGGGGTTGCGGTTTTTGGGGGGGAGTTGTAGGGGTGGGGTTGGGTGGATAGACGTCTGGGGGTGGGGCTTGTGAGGATGTGGGGGCGTTATTGGAGGAATGATGCCCGGGAGCTGCTGCAGGGCCCCCCAGGGAGACGCGGACGGACGGGGGCCCCTCACGAGAGCCGGGATCGATCCCGGCTGGGCTCGGGCGGGCGGCTCTTCCCCTCACTCCCAACTGAGGAGGTGGGGCCCAGTGGAGGGAAGGCAAAGGGGGCGGATCCTGCTGTTCCCCTGTGGAACTCCCTGCCGCTGGATACCCCTAGGCCTGACCAGGCTGCGAATGTTCATCCTCCCGCGCTGCTCCCCCTGCTGGCGTAGCAGAGCCCCTGGGGGGGGGGGAGCCCCCTGGCGGCTACAGCCCGGCTCCCCCATCTTCCTCTGCCGCAGCTGGCCCTGGTCAGGGCCCATCCTGGAGGAGACGGGCCTGGGCCCATCCGGCTGCACCCCATCCCGGCTCCGGTCCCCGCCCTGCTGCAGCCCAGCCCTCGGGGGGGGACGGGGGACTTTCACAATGGGTCCATCAGTTCAGTGCCCAGGAGGGGCTTGAGAAGGGGGGTTCAGAGAGTCCCAGCAGCAGGGGCTGGCATGGGGTGGGTCCCTGGAGGGGGGAGGAGGTTTTGGGTGTGTACGGCTGTTGTCGCCCCTTGAGCCGGGCCCCCTGCTGGGGGTGGGGGGTGTCTGGGAGTCTGTCTGCTTCAAAGCCGAAGAACCGGTCCCACACCTTTCACCCCCCCCACATGCAGAATTTTCCCTGCCCTGCATTTGGGAGCTGGGC